GAAACAGCTTTTTCGCAGTCGGGCAGCTTTTCAAATTGACAAGGCAACACACAAAGCGTAGTATTTAATCGTGCTATATATATTCACACAAAACGTAATATTTAACCACGTTATATATGGCGTGTTAAATATTTTTTCTGAAACGAAATAGCTTTTTCGCAGTCGGACAGCTTTTCATATTGACAAGACAACACACAAAACGTAGTATTTAACCGCGCTATATATATTCACTTATTTATCAAACATCTTCCTCCTCTTACAGTGTAGTTTTCTAACTGAAAAAGTTAAATATGAATAAGATGTAACAAGGCTGTGGAACATAATTTTATTTGATACATCTTGCAACATAAACAAGTACAGACACTTATAACAAAAAATATTACGAAATAAAACACTAGGTGTATCCTTGATAGTTGGGTACATTAGACAACCTTGCACCAGGAGCTAGATTACCACCGCCACCCAAACCAGCTGAAGGACATTTACAACGGTCGTATCCTGTTTGCGAGCATATGCCACATTTACGCACATAAACAGTATCACCAACATCCATTTGGTTACTTATACGCGTTATCTTTTGCACTTGTAGCTTGCGCAAATAGTCCTTGTTACACAGCATTTTAAATGGTTCTGGCGGCCAATAATGCTCAGCACCCAATGGCTGCAACTGCCCACTATTTGTATTTACATATGCAGCAACACTTTATTGCCTATCAACATAGTTGGTTGCCCCTAAACCTGTTCGTTGAAAGCACTTCATGGCATGTGAGCACGTCATGTGGTAGATGGTCCATTTCCCACATGAACACAACCTGCTGGCTTCATTTACGGTGTGTAGATTATTCCTCCGGTATTGACGGATAGCGGTGCAAACTTCAAAAATACCCCGGTCGTGATCATACTGTAAATATGAATGCCAATGTGCTCGCCTCCTGTATTTCTCAAATCTACTCATCGGTATTGGCATAAATTCAACACCCCTGTCCATCAATTCCGATGCACCTCTATGCCTTTCAACAAACCTCTCTGCCATCTGTTTAAATGTCATTCGGACCATGGCAGTGACAGGCAATCCACGTGCAGACTTCAATAACCTGTTGAATGACTCCGACACATTTGTAGTCAGGGCTCCCCATCGTCTGCCACCATCAGCATGCAATGTCCACTTGTGAAGCTCATGTCGCATCAACCAATTATAGGCTCTTTCGTCTAACTGCCGAATCGATTCCATGCGCCTCCTGAATTTGCACTGCTGGTGCTCAGTTGCATCCATCCACATTAAATCATGCAAGTCCTTATTAGGATACTTCTTCTGCAAATTAGCCTTCAGGTGCCTCACACAGTAACAGTGGTATGCATAGGGTTCCTGCCATTCAGGCAAATGCTGTACAGAACTTAAAATATCACCATGCCGATCAGATATTAGACAGATACCTGAACGTTGTTTGACAACGTGCTGCTTCAAGTGGTTCAAAAATAGTGTCCACGTCTCTTCGCTTTCATTGGCACAAATGGCAAAAGCTAGTGGAAATATTTATCCATTGGCATCTACTGCAACAACAATCAACAGCTTAATATCATACTTTCCATAGACATGAGTACCGTCTATGAAAATTACCGGACGACAATGCACAAAACCATCAATTGCTGGTTTAAATGCCCAGAACACGTATCTGAATATATATTCCAGTATTCCTGGACTCCGCTCATGCTTCCATTCTAGTAAGCTTAGCCCCTGTACAGGATGGGGGGGAAGTTCAATTAGAAGAGAATGACCCCCTTTTTGAACAACAATCCTGGGATTAAAGTGTTTCAGTGCGACCATGTACCTAGGTAGAGATGAAAATAACTTATCCCAGTCACCATAAATAATTTCAAACGCACGTTTGCGCCTGAGATATGCCTTTCTTTTGGTAATAGTACACCCATATTCCTGGTGGACGGATGTAATACACTCTTTGATCTTGTACCTAATGGACACTTTCAAGTGTGGAATCAAGACAAGAGAAATCAAGTCAACATCCAAGTTGAAGTAATTCTCATTGAATGTGTCCATTTCACAAACGTAGGTGCTAATATGTTTACCCACTTTCCACAACTCTGTTTCCTTTTTGCTCGCATGCAGTATCCAGTTACAACCCATAAAGTATCTACGGCATACGACCTTGTATACCTCCGGAATTGACTCCCATACCATCATCTCACGATACGCTCTTACGCTGTACATTTTACAAGCCCTGGATAGGCGAGCTTTATCGGGAAAATACCTGCCCTTTGCCAGCACCGTTGGTCTAGACTCATCCCACATTGCTGATCGAATTTCGTCATGATCCCTTGTGAGGGCATCCACATCCGGCATGCTTGGCAAATTATCAAGGTAGGGAATATGCTTTGAATGAAACGGCACGTGGGACTTGTACACTCTTGGTCTAATCGGAGGTGGAGGAGCATGCTCCCTCGTCAGCTCAGGTTCGACATTCACTTCCTTCTCATCATCACACTCGTCGGGGAAGGGTGTGTCATCTCCAGACTCATCGACATTGTTGTCATAATCACTATTATCTTCCTAACTCTGTGCATCTGCCAAATCACGAGTAAATACGTCGTCTACGGGAAACTGAGTGAGGTTAGGACCATCAAGTTGCTCGTTTTCACTGCACAAACAACAAAATGATAAGCTACTCAAATTGATAAATACTTTACATATAGCTATATCACTTCACTTACAAGTCGTACTGTGTTGACATTCCATGATGGACATTTTCTTGTTGGTGATGACTCCCGGATGGACCGCCGTGATCCAACACGCCAAAACTGCGCATATTCCAACTGGGCGTGGGGTCATAACTTGTAAAATTGATATCCGGACGATACAACCCCCCCCCCCCCCATATGAAATATATGAGTGTCAATACAAATTCAATTCAACAAAAAATAAACATCGTAACACAAAGGAAAATTGAAGTTTACCAGTTGTCTTGTGGATTATGTAAAGTAGGATAGAAATTATTTCCTCGCTCCTCGTTCGCCCGCAGAGATAAGTTTAGATCCGGCCAAACTCTTTCAGCCCGAACTTGTTAGGCTAAAACTGCTCCAGAATAACCACCCAATGATTGAGGGTTATCCCTGCTTTGCGCAACCTCATTATTGCAAACGTCTTCAGCCTTGACGTACATTTTCAATAATTTTATCAGTATAAATTCCTTGTATTCATCCGGAGTCCCCAAAAAAACTCTCAGAGTTTCATCGTCTTCGATGTTAAACTCAGCATAACAAGCAACCCCTTGCAAAGTCACAGAATACGTATATCTTTCGGTCATTTTAAGATTCACCAAACGTTTGCTCAATCTCATTTTATTGTATAACAATGATACCAGTCTAACGTACTCCATTGTAAGTGGCAACTTAACATGACTCTGTGGAGATAAACTATAGCTCACTAAGTTATTCGCCACCACAACCTCATCCCCCCCCCTCCCAATATAATGAAACCCTTACTTTTCGATCTTCAAACATTATGAAAAAAGCTTGAGAATTTAACAACAAGAAAAATTTATCACGAAGTTAGAGTATTTCTAAATGATAATTCTCAAAACCCTTAACGCCTTTATATAAGACAATGCCCAATCCGGGGGGTTAAATTTTTTGGAAGTAAAACGCGGTTTAAAAGGGCGTTTTACATATTTGAATTATTGTTATGTCAGTTAAGCGCAGAAGAGTTATTGGTGGGCCCACTAAACATGTAAAATGCGGTTCATATCGCGCTTTATATAAAATACGGTAATGAACCGCGCTTTATATACTTGTCTTTTCAGCTACTATATAAAACACGGTTTGCTAAAGCGTTTTATATAAAACGCTGTTGTGTACCACATTTTACCTTAACGTCCCAAACGGCCGTTAAGGTAAAACGCGGTTCATAACCGCATTTTATATAGAAATGTAACTTTTTTTTACACTTAAAAAGTGTTTTGAGTCTAAAAGAACCACATTTAGCTTCCAGACTCCTATTTTTAGCCCCTTCCATACGGCTCAGAGTGAACCATACAAACATTTGACAATATAACAAGATGTTTTTTTAATAACAAGATGTTCGAAAGAGAACAATGAGTAATTTTTGTTTTATCAGCCTAAAACATTGATATCAAACTGCAAAATCTCAAATTTTCATAGGGTCGGACATTAAATTATAATTTTTCTTTACTTAATAAATTATTTAGTTGTTTGCGCCACCTTAGAAATACAAGATATAAGCTAATCATTGGTCATTAATCTGAAGGAGTAATATAATATGAGGAAATTCATAGTGGTGGGTGAACACCGTTTTCTATGAACCAAATTGAATACATGCACCTTAAAAAATAGAAATAAATTTAGGACCTAATTATTTATTGTAAAAAAAGAGTTAGTGCGTATACGAAAATAAACTGATAACCAAACACGCTTCAGATTTTTCTGGAATTGAATAGCAAACTGTCTTGCTTTAAATTGCTTTATTTTGTTACTCACTTTTTTTTTTAATATTTTTTTTGTGAATGAAATCAACAAATTAAGAAGTAGAATTGCGATGTACACAATATTTATGGTAGGAGGATAAGTACTCCTTTATATTTAACGATATACTTTTAGCTGGAAAACTGAAAGTAAAGTTACTTTTGGCAAAGTGAAAATTTTCAGCCCGTTTGGCCATAAAAAATAATGCATTTTTTAAAAATTAGTGTTTGATCATAGAATTTTCAAATTTCACGAATTTGGAAATGTGAAAAATTTCAAAAAGCTATTTTTCAAAATTTTAACTTGAATCACTCACAAAAATTTAAAAACAATTCCAAATTGTATTCATATTCAAACACAATTCCAAAGAACAAAATTTATGAAGGGCAAACATGTCATTTCAAAATTGGCAATGAGAAAAAGAAGAGAAGCCCATGGGCGGTAGGTTTTTAGGGTACGTATCCTTTTCTCATGTCTCGTGACTCCCGTAATTTGATGCCAACTTTGCCAAACACTGTCAATCTTCGGCTCTCAACAAATCTCAAAAGCCCTTTACTTTTTCCTCCGTCTATAAATAATAAATAATAAATAATTAGGACTCTCAAGCCTTGCTCCCTCGACCACTCCGCTTACTTTCCTTTACTTGCTTTCACCCCTCAGATCAGCAGCCAACCACCCCCGCTTCTTATATCGGTAAAAATTTCTCATCTCTATCTCCTTATCCTTTTGAATGATTCTTGGGTTTTTGTTCTGAGAATCTATTATTCTTTTTTCAGTTGCATGTTATTTTCCCTGTGTTTGAGATTTTTTTGGTCCATCATGTGCTTAATTTCTCTCGTGTTGAATTAAAGATTGAATATTTAGGAAAAAGCTGGATTTTGGATGTTTCAACTTTCAAGCTTTTTGGAATAATTTTTTTCATAAAAGTCTTGGTTTTTTCTTGTGAGAATCTACTTATTTTATTGTGCATGTTGTCTTCTCCTATGTGTTTGAGCAGCAGCCGATCTAGGATTTCTAGTATATGGGTGCACTCCTAAAGTAAAAGATATATTGAGTGGGAATTGATCCTTATTCCTATGAGTAATCTTCCTTGAGTATGGGTGTCAACAGTTAAATATTATACCAAATCTTAAAAAAAAATATATATATAATATCTAATTTTTTCGGAAAGACCATGGGTAAACGTGTCCCATAATTGTGCCTATAAATCCGCCCCTATGTTTGAGTCTTTAGGAATTGGATTTTTTTGTTTTTGGTTGTTGAGATCTCTTTTTTTATCTATCATCTGGTGAAATTCTGTATCTGTGGTAGCTGATTAAAGATTGAATCTTTAAGAAAGGTTGGATTTTGGGTATTTGAAACTTTTTGGAATTCCTTGAAAAGTATAATTGTTTTTTTTGCTGGTGAGATTGAATTCAAGGTCAAACAGCATAACTTGTAGCCGGATGACATGCAGATGGAAAATGACTTTGGAACCTCTTTTTTGTTATTGTACATGTAAATGTTTGTTGCTATGCATAATTACGTAAATAGATTAATGAAAGAGATTGTTTTGTCTTTATTGCAGTTTCTGTTTTATATTCTCTTTTCTCTCTTTGGTTTGTTCTATTTTGTTTCAAAGTATGAATGCAGGAACATTTTGGTGAAAACTAAATTATGTGAATAGACTCTGGCTTGAATCACAAGTGTGGATTTTATTTAATGATATAACTCATTGGAAAAGCTTAGCTCTATACTTAGTATTCCAGATTTGGTGCTTTTGAGTGTGTATTTTCTTTAAAGCCTGAAATAGGACTAGTTACATGAAAATGGACTTCAAACTGGTGTTTGAGTATTCCCTCTTAATGAAATTTGATTTACTGGATTGGGATAAAACGACACCTTTTTTGTGTAGGATAATTCATAGAGGAACACTATTCATGTAGAGGGTAGCGAGGATAGCTTTCTGATACATAGGAATTTACTAATTGCATCCAAGTCTAATTTTGAGAAAATGCAATTCTCTAAAACTTAATAATTCAGCCAGAAGTTGGGAACATCTAGAAGAAGAATTGCACAAGCCTTTGTTGAATTCCCTGAAGTATATTTCATAGGAAAAGAAGAAAAAGCACATGCTTTAGTCTGATTAACCTTGCCGAAGTGTTTGAAAGGATATTAAGATGGTGACTAAGCAAAGATTTTTATTTGTTCTTTTATGTGTACTGTGCATCTTATACCTTCGATCCATAGTCATAGCCTTGGCATTGTACAGAAGATTAAGTTTCACACTTCCTTAGTATAGAGTCATAAATTATTATGCTAGTAAATTTTATCTTCGCAACATGGAGCTTCGAGTGAAGATCATGAAGCCACTCGCTTGTTTCTTCTCATAATGCTCCAGATATTCAACGCCTTGTCTTTTAAGAAATGGACTATCAGATTTTCATTTCTTTTTTCCATCTACGGCAGGGCATATATCGTTCAAATGTCAAATTCATTCCTTACCCGGTTTGCCTTGTAGCAAGTCCTCCTTTGCTGCTATTCTTACACCAAAAGTTTTATGCAGATGTTAATCAATACATAGCTTTAAGTAGCAACATGTATACGCATTTCTGTGTTTAGATATGATTCTTTCTCTCACTAGCATGTTAGAAAAGAAATTTTAATTAATCAGAAGAACTGAAATGGACTTGTTAGAATCTGTCTGGGATAGGTAAACAAAAGCTTCGAGATTGATTATTTTACTTGTTGCATTTGGCACGTCAAACTTCAATGCTTCCTGTATATGCTGTTATTCAGCATTGATGTGTATTAGACATTCTTCAATATAGCCCCTCTTTATAACTTGTTTATTTCATGATTGCTTGTAAATTTGATCAGGTAAAACATGTCGACTGTGAGGCTTCCTTCCACCTGCATGTTCAAAGCTGCTCCTCAGACTCAGAAAAAGAGCGCATTTGTTAAAATCCCATCTTCTGTGGGTTCTGTGCGGAGCATCTCGAGATCCTTTGGCTTGAAAGCTGACTCTGGTTTTAGAGCATCAGCAAACGTGTACAAGGTCAAGTTGGTTTGTCCAGATGGTACAGAGCATGAGTTTGAAGCACCTTCTGATACTTACATCCTCGATGCAGCTGAGGAAGCTGGAGTGGAACTCCCTTATTCGTGCAGGGCCGGTGCTTGCTCGACTTGTGCTGGGAAGATAGAGTCAGGCTCTGTTGATCAATCTGACGGATCTTTTCTGGACGACAACCAAATGAAAGAGGGCTATCTGCTTACTTGTGTTTCTTACCCAACCTCGGATTGTGTGATCCACACTCACAAGGAGAGTGATCTTTACTAGGTATCCTGGTTTTAAGTTATGCTTCAGATCTTGGTCTAAGGTAAAGCAGCTATATAATGCTTTTGTCCTCTTGAGTGTCAGAACTAGGGTTAAATCAAGATACTTCTTTTGTTTCATAAATGCTTATGTAATGCAGCCTTCTTCTAAGTGCCTATTGATTCTATATCTGGCCTCGAGTCCTAGATTTTTGTGTTTATGTTATCGTTTTACTCTTTTTCAACTCCCAAATGCCAAATGCACTAACAGATCCAATCATGTGGGAGAATTCTGAGAAAGCTTAAACTACAATTGCTCGCCCGATATGTGAATTGAGACTTTAGAATTGATGAATTCAGAATTTTAGTTTGATTGTGCACGAAGTTAAAGGATATAGGGTGTGTTTGGTATGACGGAATCCTTCGTTTTGTTGCACAAAATAGTTTGGAAAATATTTTTCTAGATATCACATTTTCTTGAAAGGAGGAAAATGACTTTCTTAGAAAATATTAGGAAAACATTTTCCAAAATCTTCACCGGCACCACATCTAACCCCAACGCCCTTTCCTTTCTCTCCCCTGCCCCACCTCTCTCTCCAAAAGGCTTTTTTTTTTTTTTTTTTTTTCAGATTTCAGTTTTTTTTTTCTTTTTCGTTACCATCCACCCTGCTAACCTCTAAGTAGTTTTGATTTCTTTCATTTTTCAGTTTACAAGTTCGAAATTTTACGAGTTCCAACATTATGAGTTCGGGGTTTATGTGTTTGAAAGTTTGCGGGTTTAGAAATTGTAGAGTTTACGGACTCGAAAGTTTGTGAAACTCGTGGGTTCGGAAGTGGTTCGAAAGTTTATGGCTTCATATTTATTGTATCTAAATTATTTACGAATAATCTTGAGAAGTTATTTTTTCTAATTTGCGTACCAAGCACCGAAAAATTTGTAAGATCACTACTTGTTTTCCAAGAAAATATTTTTCACGAAAATATTTTTCGTTATACCAAATACACCCATAAATAAGACTTCGAATCTCGTGGTCTCAACTAAATGTGTATTGTTACCGTACTATTTGAATCGTATGATCTTAAATATGTTGTCATTCGTAAAAGAGTACTATTTTTTAAGAGTAGAATAAGAAGTTTAGGATTAAAAACTTGCTAATTTTTTAAGAGTAGAATAAGAAGGTTAGGATTAAAAACTTGCTAAATACAGAAATATCGCATACACATAACTCGAAAAGGATAGAGTATAAAATATTAATTCATGGCTTGTATAGGTTTGGCCGGTGGGAAATAGGCAAAACTCTTATTCCATGACATGTGCTTCGTAATTTCTGCAAATGTCTAGATTTTCACTTACGTATTGTTTGGATGGTTGTTTCCGGTTGTATTGTATTGTATTGTTACTTCAGATACAATGTTTGTTTGATTGTTAATATAAAATTGATTGTATTGTATTGTTAAATCCGTTGTTCCGGAACATTGAAAAACCCCATTTTATGAAACAACTAAATCGGTGTGGTGGGATTGTTCCGTATTTTCCTTTCCAATTATGCCCACACTTATTATTCTATATTTCAATTTTACCCTTTACCTATTGTTTATATTATATTCACCAAACTAATAAGTACTTTGTCTCCATCTTCTTTCTGCCGTTCAACTAGTCAACGACGTACTTCCCTAGTCTTCGTTTCTTTCCAACAAGAGTTTTTACAGGTTAGTTTTCATCTCTTTTCTAAAAAACTGAAATAATTTATGTAGTGACATTAGGTTGAAATTTTGTTTTTCTAAATATCTATTCAATTTCTTCTGTTTAATCAAGATTCGTACCTTATCTTCTCCATAACTTATTAATAACACTTTTTCTCAAACAATACGTTACTTTTCCATCTCTTTTCTTGTGTATTTTTTCTGGTTAGTTCATCTATGATATTTGCAAACTATATATTATGGTGATATAATTTATCAAGTTAATATAATGGTTTAAAGTGTAGCATCAAGTTATTAGTTTGATACAGTCAAAACCGACAAAAAATATAAAACATGAATTATGTGTGGCTTCTGTTGTAACAAATAAATTTGCTTATATATTTTTCTGTTTACTTAATTAATTTAGTGTAATGTGATAAAATATTTGACTAGAATTCTCTTTTTTGTACAATCCTATTAGTATGTATCTGAATTCTCCTTCATACTTCATAATGTGTTCTATGAAGAAGAGTTTATTTTCGGTTCATATTTATTTTACGTAGTTAATTGGTTGATGTATCTCACTAAATTTTATTATAGATGGCTGATCGGAATAATCAAAATAATAGACAGATATTGGAACAAGTGAGCTCTTTAGCTACATATGCTGCTTGATTAGTAGCTATTTGATTTTGGACTTATGTACGTGAAATTGAAAATGACCGACGTACGATCACACATGATATACGACTGGAAAGTGAACAAGTTAGACATGAATTATTGAGTCATTTATTCTCAACTGAACTTTGTCGTAATATTATAAGAATGACCCCTTTAGCTTTTACCGATCTATGTGAGATGTTAGTTAGAGAGGGTGATCTTAGACCAACACTTCAAGCTACAGTTGAAGAGCAAGTTGCAAAAACACTTTACCTGTTAGCACATAATACGACGAATCGCGAGTTGGCTTTTATCTTTCGACGATCTGGGGAGTCGGTTAGTCGTCATTTTCATATTGTCCTGCGAGCGATCTTGGGGTTTATATGAAAAATTTATTAAAAAATCTGATGGCTCTCAAGTTCCTTCTGAAATTGCCAGCAGCCCAAGATTCTACCCATATTTTAAGGTGAACACAAATACAATTTTATTGAACTTTTAGCTAAATTCAAGGTTGATTGCATATAATTTATTATAATAATATCAGGACTGTATTGGTGCAATTGATGGAACACATATACGTGTTAAAGTTTCACAACGTGAAGCACCCATATACCGTGGAAGAAAAGATTATCCAACACAAAATGTATTAGCTGCATGCACATTTGATTTAAAATTCACATATGTGTTAGCTGGTTGTGAAGGGACGGCATCTGATTCAAGAATCATGAAAGAAGCGTTAAATAGACAAGACCCGCTAAAACTTTCAGAAGGTAAATATTTCATATATTTATCTAGGGAAAGTTAGATGTGATGAATAAATAATTAAAGCTTTTACTTTTTATCTTTAGGAAAATACTACCTTGTTGATGCTAGATTGATGTTGAGAAGTGGATTTATTACGCCTTATCGTGGGGAGCGATATCACTTGAAAGAGTATTCAAGAAATCCACCTCGAAATCCTCGTGAATTACTTAATCTGCGACACGCATCTTTGCGTAATGCTATTGAACGAGCTTTTGGATTTCTTAAAAAGAGATTTCCTATAATTTTTAGTTCAACTGAACCGTCATATGCTGTTGAAACCCAAAAGCTTATTATTTCTGCATGTTGTATTTTGCACAACTACTTAAGAGGTGCAGATCCAAATGATGAGTTACTTGCACAAGTTGATGCGGAGCTTATGGATGATAATGATGTGCATGAAGAACCACCAAATCCTAGGGAAAGTAATGAGAGTTTAGAAGGGGGGAGTTGATTAGAAATGGCATAGCAGCTGACATGTGGGCTAATTATCAAGTTTAATCTTCTAGGAGAGAAAAAGTCAACGAATTTTTTCGTGTTTATTTATTTGATGTTGTTTGAAAGTAATTTTGGCTATTATTTGAATAAAATATATTATGTACTATGCATTTATTTTATTTTATAACTCTTACAAATATTATGCTGATAAAGTTTTCATTAAGTCTTATGAATATCTCTTAATTATGTAGTTATCAATATGCCGAAAAGGTTAAAGGCATCCTCAAGCGATACAAATCTTTCAGATAACACTTCTGTTTGTATTTGGTCAAATGCTATAGATGATGCCTTAATTGATGCATTCTATCATGAGCACACACTTGGAAACAGGGTTGGTGGAACTTTTACTACACACGCGATTGACAATATAGTGAAAGAGATGCAATCAAAATTTCCAGATAAAGTTTTTACCAAGGAGAGAGTTCACAACCGAATGAGAAATATTAAAACAAAATTTAGCAAGTGTTATGACACCTTTCAAAATGGGAAGAGCGGGTTTGCATGGGATTCCAACACAAATATGTGGAATGCTGAATCTGAAGTATGGGATCAATTAATACAGGTACATTTATTATTAGCAGTTTTGTTCTTTATTTGCATCTTATAATGTTTTTCTCATTTTCTGCATTATTATATTGTACTTTTTTTTTGTGTAGGCTAAGCCTGAAGCTGCTAAATGGAGAAACAAGCCGATTAGAAATTATGATAAGCTAATTGAGCTATATGGAAGGGATAGAGCTACTGGAAAGCAAGCTGAGACTGGAGCAGATATGGTAAAAAGAGGCGCTCGTAATAATTTGAGAAAATCAAGTGATAGTTCATTGACTATTGATGAGGTAGATGAACTAATTTCCATGAATACTGCCTCTTTGGAAAATATCGAGGAACATGGACAACATGAGCAATATCAATCAACTCAGGAAGCACGTAAATTGAATGCATATTTAGAGGTACCGACTTCTAGCAGGAATAAAAAATCTAAACATGATCATCTTGAAGGCATGGCTGATATGTTGAGAGGTGAGATGAATAATTTGGCTAATGCAATTAATCGCCTTTCAACTATGCCACCTATTCCTGAGAGTGAGATATGACAAATGGTACAAGTGTTGGATTTAGAGCCTAGTATGCACATGAAAGCTTATATATTTCTTTGAAAACATGCAGACTTGTGCCGCACACTGATTGAGTGTCCATTGGAAGACCGCAAATTTCTTTTACTGACCTTGATGTCGTCACCTGGCAATTGAGTTAGACTAAATATATTTTGTGTTTTAGCTATTGAAGATTTATAGACTTTGACTAGATCGATATGAGTTTTATATGTCATGTTGCTAGAAAATTTTATTATATTATGCACTTTAAGTTATGGATTATTTGCTACATTAAAGGTCAGGAACTCAAGGTCCGTTGTCTACACTGTTTTGATGGGGCTGTGAATTTTTTGTTTGTTTGTTTGTATAAAATCGATTTGGGGCTTTCGCTATTATAGTAGAATGATGATTCCCTGTGAGGAAGATGCGGAGGTCAAATGAATAAATTATTTTTATGAGTAATTCTTAATAAGCATCGTATTTAAAATAATTGAGCGTATTTTAGTAAACGTAGCAGTACAGTACAGTACAATACAGTCAAACCAAACAATAAAGATGTTATTTAACAACAGCAAATGATACAGTCTATCCAAATGTTGTATCCATCAAAACGATACAATACAGTACGGTACAATACAATACAATACATTATAAAACGATGGAAAACAATGATCCAAACACAGTGTTAGAGACATCCATGTGGGTCAGTGGGCTAAGTTTCGAATTTTTCCTCCAGTCAATTTCACTGGCGGTAATGCCTGTCGCTACTCTTATTTTATTTCATTAGCATTTATTTCCTTTAAGCAGGCATTTTCTTTTTCATAAAATCCCCTGATTATTAGTATCGTTTTACACAAAATTTTGTACGTGTATAAATTTTTGTTTCCAGACTAATCCAGAGCGTTGGTTAAATCCATTAAGGGGGTAAAACGTTCTGAAAGGATCTCCATTCAGTGGGCTCGAACCCGTAAACTTTGGTTAAGAGTGGAGGAATCCCAATCATACCTCACTCTTTGCTAGTAATAGGATTGTTTGTTCAACGGTCAAAGTTAATGCTTAATAAACATAACTCTTCCCCCTGTCTTAAATCACTTTGTTATGCTGCAATTTCTGGATGCAATCAGATGCAGAAGATGAGATCCGCTGTTTACTGCTCACGTAAACATCCGATTTATATTATAATCAAGTTGTTCGTCTATCTTTCTGGTCTCTTTTCCTTCTATTCATCATAGTATGTGACAAATGAAACCTTAACCCAGTTTTAGATATTCATCGCATAATTTTTTTTTAGTATTTGTCTACTTTTCTCATTCCTATGGGCCTATAATTTCCTCCACTTTACAGAACTGTGTTGGGTGTAGACAGTGTAGTATATTTACGGGCGATGTGCACAGATAGCCATTAATATCTCCTGTCTTTATTTTTAAGCCACTGTTTTAAATGTTTTAGTCTTTAGCCACTGCTTTAATAAAGTTTTACCCACCCGGACAAAAATACCCTTCTGTTATAAGGATTTGGCTTATACCTACGCTCCTTATTAACGATCAGCAGCAGCAGCTCAAACGTACGTAAGTAACTTGCAGAGGCTGTGATCGTCCAAAATTGCAGAAGCTTCTCTTCCGATTTCAAACTAGAAAATTCAACTTTCTCGTCCAAAATTCACCATAAAATTACAGTAAGTTCTAATGTTTGAGATATATCTTTATGCTTTTGTGTGTTTGTGTGGATTTTATTTCGTTACTAAGAATTTGATGCTAGGAATTTTATTTTTTTTGGCTTTTCTGGATTAATAACGTTAAGGACATCGCGTCCTTAACTCTGTGATTATTCTATAAATATTGAGGACATAATGTTAAGGATTTGGTGTCCTTAACATGACTATTGTTCTGAATATTAAGGACATAGTGTCCCGTTTTTTCAAATTGTATTGAAAAAGTTAAGGACACGATGTCCTTAACTTTTTTGTTGTTGTTCTGATATTAAGGACATAGTGTCCTATTTTTGCAAATTGTATTGAAAAAGGTAAGGACACGATGTCCTTAACTTTTTTGCTGTTGTTCTGAATATTAAGGACATAGTGTCCTATTTTTGCAAATTGTATTGAAAAAATTAAGGACACGATGTCCTTAACTTTTTTGTTGTTGTTCTGAATATTAAGGACATAGTGTCCTATTTTTACAAATTGCATTGAAAAAGTTAAGGACACAATGTCCTTAGCTTTTTTGCTGTTGTTCAAAATATTAAGGACATAAAGTACCTTAACTTCATGACTGTTCTAAATATTAGGGACATAGTGTCCTATGTTTTGCAAGTTGTATTGATAAAGTTTAGGAAATCGTGTCCTTAACTTCACGATTGTTGTATATATATGTCCTGAATTTCCCATTTTATTGACTTGCAGGATGGGCAGACTATCAGTATCTTGATCATCAAACAAAACTTGTTCTAGTACCTGAGGCAAATTGATTTGAAGATTTCATTAAACAGGTCTTTGAAGTTATTGAATTGGATAGAGACAAGTTTGAAGCAATGATATGGTTTAATATCAACCTGGGAACAAGCAAGGGAATGTTTGTATCCAAATATTTAGATCTTCACACATGTATAGAGTTACTAAAAAGTCATTCACTCTTCAAGGGCTGTCGTTTCATTGCTGATGTTTCGGAAAGAGTTTTTGGTTATACAAGCACCTTTGAACATGTCAATAGAGAAACTCAACATGACAATCAAGACAAATGCCAACAGATAATGGAAATAGATGTGGTTGAAGCTCAACCAATAACTGAAGAGGTGCTTCAAACATTTGATTCTATTCAAGTGGAAGGACAAAGCATTATAGAGATTGTCAACGAACAAGCTTTGGATATTCAAGTCTTAGAGAGTACACTGGTAATAGAAGAAGTTGCTGAAAAAACCTCTACTTAACTAACAAGACGAAGCTCAAATTCGAAACAAAAAGAATCCCCAACTACGATATTAAGAGAAAATGCTTCTTTGGATGAAATAAAAGTGGGATCAATATTTGACAAAAAGAAGAGTATAATTAATTGTTTTTTGAATATAGCAATTTAAGGACATATTGAATTCAAGGTTGTTAGATCAAGCTCAATAAGATATTCGTTGAAATGCAATGATGATAGGTCTGGGTAGTGTGTGCGTGCATTCAGAATTAAAGATTCAACACTGTTCAAGATTGTAAAGATTGAGAAAAATCATGATTGCTCAGTTAACACTATGAAAGCTGATCAAAGGCATGCAACTTCAAAGTTGATTAGTGGTTACATTATTGACAATCTTCGAGACCCAGGGTTTGAAGTTACACCGGCCTTTGTCATGGCAGAAATGCAAAAATTGCATGGACTAGACATTGGTTATCACAAGGCGTGACGTGCTATTCAACGTGCTTGGGCTTTAATAAGAGGAACTCCTGAAGAGAATTATGAATTATTGTCTTCATACTTGTATGTGATGAAAAGTAAAAATCTGGGAACATATACTAACATAAAGATAGACGACAACAACAGGTAAACAATCAAAAAGAGTTTATTAGTCTGTTTTATAAACTTTAGGACAGGTGTCCTTAACTTTGATATGTGCAGTGAGAAAGTTAAGGACATGGTGTCCTTAACTTTGATGTGTGCAGTTAAAAAGTTAAGGACATGATGTCCTTAACTTTGATGTGTGCAGTGAAAAAGTTAAGGACATGGTGTCCTTAATTTCTGTTCTTGTAACTCTAAGTTAAGGACTACTTATCCTTAATTTCTGTGCTTTTAACTCTAAGTTAAAGACTACCTGTCCTTAATTTGTGAGCTTGTAACTTGAACTTTAGGACTACTTGTCCTTAACTTTTGGACTTGAAACTCTAAGTTCAGGACTACATGTCCTTATTTTTTGAACTTGTAACTCTAAGTTCAGGACCACATGTCCTTAATTTCTGTGATTGTAACTCTAAGTTCAGGACTGCATGTCCTTAGTTTTCTAACTTGTAACTCTAAGTTAAGGACTACCTGTCCTTAATTTCTATGCTTGTAACTCTAAGTTCAAGACTTCCTGTCCTTAACTTTTTAACTTTTAACTCTAAGTTCATGACTACATGTCATTAACTTTAGAACTTGTAACTCTAAGTTAAGGACTACCTGTCCTTAATTTGGTATCTTGTATTTTTAACCTTCTGTTATACTGTATTTTCAGGTTTCTTTATATGTTTTATGCATATGGATCATCAATAGCTGGTTGGAATCATTGTAGACCAGTGATTGATGTTGATGCAACTTTTTTGAAGTCAAAATTTTGTGGTGTTTTAATGATTTCAGTTTCAAAGGATGCAAATAACCAAATATTCCCACTAGCCTTTGGAATCGCAGAATCTGAAAATAACAATTCCTATGAGAGGTACTTTAGTGAGCTTCGCAATGCAATTGGTAGCCGTGACAATTTAATTTATGTATCAGACATGCATCAATCTATTGCACATGGCATTGCAAAGGTATATCCTGAAAGCCACCATGGGATTTATATCTATCATTTGGAGCAGAACCTAAAGCGAAGGAAAGTGAAAAGTGAGGTCATAAAACTTTTCCAAAGTGTTGCAAGAGTATACAGGCGCAAAGAATTTGATCTATACATGTCAGATATAGCAAAAGTTGATAAGAAGACTTTTGACTACTTGATGGAAGAACCACCGGAAAGGTGGGCACGTTCTTGTAGTCCACGACGAAGATATGACATGCTCACAAAAAATATAGTTGAGTTAATGAATTCTGTGCTATTAGAAGCAAGGGAAGTGCCTATATTAAGAATGATGGATTTCATCGAATTGAAGCTACAACGTTGGTTTTATGAAAGAAGAAATGAAGCAGAAGGAACTTTTTATGACGTTTCTTGTTGGGTAGAAGAGGAATTGAAGAAAAAGATAGATTTAGCTTTTACTTTAAATGTAAGTATTATGTTCTTTGTTTAGCTTATTATTTTAATGATAATTTTACATAATGTATTAACTTATAATTTTTCAACATTGAAGGTCTTCCCTGTTGGTTCATGGCGTTCTAGAGTTGAGGAAGAAGGAATTACTTTCTTGGTGGACTTAAACAAAAGAACATGTGATTGTTATCAGTTTCAATTTGATGAATTACCATGTATACA